TGCTACGCCCCGTTTGCGGCATTTTCATGAGGTGAGTAATGTTTGTCTTGCCACTTTTATCTTTGCGTATACCGGCGTGTTTAAGTACATGCTAAACCTTTTTTGCCCTGCATTTGTGGAGTTTGCGACCGTGCTGTATGATTTTATTTGTTTTGCATGCTGAACTGAGCTGTAATTTGGGTCAAACCGCTGTGCACCTGATATGAATAAACGAGCACACTGATGCTCTTTTACATCCATGACGCCTCTTTTCCTGCGGCTGGGCACAGTGGCAAATACGAGCTTAGAGGGTTCGTCCATATTTGTTCACTGTGTTAAACGCAATTTCTAAGGTTGGATAAAACAGGCTCGACACGCATTGTCTGTTCGGGTACCGCAGCAGAAAATCCAACTGCACACTTCAAAAGTTACGTGTGGTGCGACCCGTGCGCGAAATCCTGCCAACGAAAAATTGTTCGACATCGTTCGCTCACATGCATAAATTTTTCGAAAGTTCCTCACGACCAAAACGCTTTTTCGATGAATGTCACTGCCAGCTGCAATGTGCATGTGCCGAAGCTATTGGGCCGTGCTACCATCAACTGTTTTCGCCCGTTCAGGTTGAGGCCCTCCTCATGTTTGCGATCAGCGGGCTAGCGAAGATATCGTCCGATCAGGAATTGGGGTCTGCCGAAGGTTCTAAAATGATACGTCAAGCTGAGGTCGGAAGACTACCAGCAGAATACTTGAACTGGGAGCCGGGCGAGATGGAAGTGCGCCTGTGTGGCTGGTGCCTGCATGACTGGCGCCTGTGTTGCTGGTGCCTGCATGACTGGTGCCTGTGTTGCCGGTGCCTGTGTGGCTGGTGCCTGTGTGGTTAGAGCCTGCGTGGCTGGAGCCTGTGTATCCAGACCCTGACGTAGTTCTTAGTTGCTATATGTGGCACAATTCTTAGCTGTATTGGTGGACTCATGCTGGAAGCTGATTCAAAGATTAACGTTACGTTAAGGTGGGTTCAGAGCGGAAGGAACTCTCTAGCTGAACTGAAGAAGATGCTACAACAGCCAAGTCTCTAAATACTCGCACGGCCTCGTCATGATGAATGCATCGGAGGCTGCACCTACGAACTCCCCAGAGGTCGTAAGCGTTAGAGCATGCTGAGACGACAGAGTGGTCCTATCTAAGAGCCGCTGGGTGTCCTCGCTGTCGAGTAGTGCGAATGCACGCCGCAGCGCGCTATCGTTCTTATCTCTTTGCAAACACGAATGACATCTTCCTAGTGACACTGCTAAACAATCGTCTCACCTGTATTCAGATCGTGTGTTGTCGCACACGTTATGTTTTGTCATTTTGGGCTGTGTTTCTGCGTACGTGCACGGATGTGCTCCGCGTGTTTTTTGCTATAACTCCGCCCGTTAGTGAGCAGTAGAATACTGGCGATTCAAGAAAATACAACTGGACGTCGCAGAGCTAAGCTTCCATGGGAGCTCCTTATGCAATGACCGTGTAAATATCATGCCCGGTCCACAGTTTCGTCACAGCTTTGCGTGTTTCAATACTGAAGTTTCACCTAAAGCGTGTAAAAAATACCTATATTGCGGTTCATGATATCAGTGCATAAGTATTCGAACAGTTATATCTGCTTGAAAGTGAACGATATAAGCCCAAATGCTAGGACGGCCGACGACCTTTTCTGAACTCGCTATTCGTAGTGGTTTTCGGTCAGCTTTGCAGTGAAACAATCAATAATGCTACGGCTCCATGATTAGACAGACAGACTAAGCAACGCAATCCCACCAATAGGCGAAGCAGATGCAAACTAAATACGAAAGCAACGACAGACATCACACAGAGCTCTGTTATTGGCAATGGATCTTTCGCTACTAGGGCCCGTATCGGTACAGCCGTGACAAGACCGAACACATAACTGATGCTAAACTACTCGCAATGACAACACAGGTGACATCGCTGAGCACGTCACCGTGACTCTTGCGCCGCCATTGTCTCTTCTGGCAATCCTGGCACCGCCCGCTCGCGCGATACTATGTCACGTGTTCTCCGAGCGTGCTGACGTCAGCCTGCAACCCGCAAGCCACGTGCTAGTCTCCTTCCGTCCCTTGGGTACCTCCCATGGTAACTCCTCGGTGCTCTGTCCTCGGATCCTTGTTTGTTTCTTGGCCTGATGCTTCACTTTCTCGCAGTTTCTTGTAATTGGGTCCGATGGCCATCATTTCTGGTTTATCCAACTGCTTGTCTGGGATGAGCCCTTCGCCCAATCCGTCACTGAGCTGGACTACGTCCAAGGATCGGCTGCGGGGTATCCTCGGGCAGCGCCTGCTCGTGCGATACGCTATCACCTGTTCTCCGGGTGTGTTGACGTCAGTCTGCAACCCGCCGACCACTACGGTAGACATCCATGAGGAAATCAGGCGCTGGGATAGTAATTAGGTCAACATTATTGGATGAGTCAGCACCTCCCCAATCGATTTTAGGGAATGACAACCTTGCCTAAGGCGTCTTCTTTTTTAATATCTAGCCTGAGCCTTCCAAATGAATATATTTCTGTCATCGGAGCCCACGCTTTGCAGTGTTTGTTACGTGAGCCTCGAGCAGGGGCGCAGCCAGAGCTTTGCCAAAGGGGGCACAGGGTTGACAAGGGGCCCCTTGACACTTAAAGGCGCCCCCCTCCCCAAAAGAAATCGCCGGGTATGGTCCATTGGTTACTGCAGACATCTTTGTTTATCTATAAATAAATAGATAAATGTATACATATATATATATATATATATATATATATATATATATATATATCGGCCACGGCCGCGAGGCCGAACCTGCGCGGTCTAGGGAGCCTGCAACGCCTGGCGTCGAGTTTTTGTAACCGAGGTACGCGAGCGCGTATACTCAAAACTACGTTACATAATTTGTACCACGCGTCAATTCTGACCCGAATGTTGAACATATGCATATGCATCTAAAGATAAACGTATGCATACACACACACACACACACACACACATATATATATATATATATATATATATATATATATGTATATATATGTTTATAATACTTATGCTCTCAATAATTGGAAGAAAGACCAGATGCTCCCGCGAGTTCAATTCCACCTCAACTTTACAGTAAATATACTAACTAAATCATGCGTTAAATGACTGCATTAAATAAATCGCCGACATTTTTCATTTCAAAATGGTCAAGTGGGCTCTTTTAAACGAATAACACGCGGAAACTTTGTCTGCGTGTTAGCTTAGGTTAGGTTAGGTTAGGCCATCTGGGTTGTACAGAGTTAGCAAGGATTCAGCGAATGTAGATTAAAGATCAAAATTGGTCAACAATTTGTATTAGCGTTGGGAAGCCATGCCTGCCCAGATATGTTCAACATTCGGGTCAGAGCTGATGAGTGGAACAAATGATGTAGCGTAGTTTTCAGCATACGCGCTCGCATACCTAGGCAGCAAAAACTCAACGCCAGGCGTCGCAGTCTCCCTGGACCGCGCACCTTCGGCCCCGCGGTTAAAACTAAGCCGCGGCCAACAAGTGGACGAAAATGGTGTTGCATCTGAAAGAAGTACTTTAAACGCCTTTGGACACCAAATCGTACATCTAGAGATGTTCCTGACGTATATTTCATCTATGCGGTTTTTAGATTAATGACAATAACGTAGTTTGAGTTTATAGTGCTGGCCTTTGCAACACCGTGAAATGGTGCTGAAATCTGGTCGAGGAATTGGAAGAGTAGGGTAAAGTAAAATTAGAAAGAAGAAAAATTTAAAAGAATAGAAACCGAATTTGTAGCTGATTACTAAGTGGGCCCTCAGGCCCATACCGACACGGAACCGACTGTGCGGTACTGGTAGTGCCTGGCCAACATATAGGCCCATATCGACTCAGGGGTCCCCGATCGGCGCAAATGGCCCTCTGATCGATATTTGAAGTTCTGTCTTCTCAGGTAAGGGCCCCTGAATAAGACTCTGAACAGCCATTTATGCCCTTAGACACTCCGATCGTGTCCTTGATCGTTGGACCTGTGACCCCCTTAGGATATTCGGGGTTCCTTGGACACTATCTCTGGCCGGCTTGGGGCCCTTTGACAACACAGGGCCCCTGTTAGGCGTTGTGGGCCCCGAGTAATGTAAACTGCTGCCTCCGGCTTTGTCCCTGCTTGGGAAATGGGCCCTCGGGCCTATGCCACCACGGGGCCGACTGTGCGTTGCTGGCGGAGTCTGACCAAAATATAGGCCCTTATCGACTCAGTGGACCCCTGATCAGCGCGCAGGGCCCTCCCCCTCGCGTTGGAGTGCCCAGCCCTGCGGGCTGAGGCCCCTGAATGAGACCTCCGTCTGAATTTTCGGGCCCTTCGGGCCCTCGGAACCTAAGGGGGAGGGGGAATATGTGCCCCCTGTGCCCCCCAGCCTGCGCTACTGGCCTCGAGCCCCACCATCCCAGTGCGCAATTCCACATGAATGACAAAAGTTGGTGGTGAAGGTTAAACGTGCTGTAATGCTCGACATGATCCGTCCTACCCTCTGACGTCACCTCACTTCCAGCAAGGCCATCAGTAACAGCCCCAAGACAGCCCAGTCAAGGGCAAATAGCAGATGAGGGTGGCTCGAACCCCACCCCGCCTTGTGTGGATCAGTCGGAAGGTTGGTATTCTAACCAACTGATCTATAGGGACTGTCCTAGAAAGTCATGCCTGCTGGCTTGAGGCTCACGTAGGTGTAAACACATATTTTGGGATACATTTTTGGTCGCCAAGATGTTTTGTTTATGGCAAAAAAATTATTGGTTTGACCATGGTGACTTTTAACATGTTCCAACGTTTCTTTGATATCAAATGCCACGCTATCTGTTACAGTGGATTAAGTGAGGGACTGTTACGAGAACCAGTCTCATAGGTTCGGAAGCGTAGGGGTTGTCAATAAGTTTGTCCGTCATTTAGTCTCTCCCATGCATTACTGACGGATTACGGCGCGTGTGTTTCATTTACTGGAGTACAGTGGCTGCAGGATGTGTCGTATGCTATAATCGGGGTATAGCGAGGTTTACGAGCTCCGTACCAGAAAACGGTGGATCGCTGAGTGCTTATATTGTGTAGCGCACAAGGTATGCTGCTGGGTGTTATTTCCTTTTAAGTAAGGCGGGACTCCAGACTCCTTCCTCAATTTTGTGGTAAACCTACAATTTTGTGAAACCCCTGGTATGCTTTATCCCTCATTCCTGGCAGGCTGTAAATTCCAACCAAATTTGGATGAGGTTGCATCAACCTTCGCGAGTATTGGATCAAAGTTCCCATTCAGGGAATTTTTGGTGTTTGTCTCATGCAATCTAGGCCTCAGATTGTTGAACTGTGGAAAATGCTTAGAGTACAAGCTGTACCTCAAGCATTTTCTATGTGAACACAAACTCAAGTTGTACTGCACAACTGGGATGTTTGTTCATGCATGAATGTAGCTGAATTGGGGTGGAGAGGTCATTGGGGCCTTAGCCTCCCTTTGCCAACTTGTGCACATAGGATACTTGGTTAATGTGCAGGAATGGCATGTCATCATGGGCACAAAATGGTCATTGTGGTGGATGTACTTGAAAACACCATCAAACAACAACAAAAGGAATGGCATGTGACCCTTTCAAAACCCTGGGTACATAACTGTGTTGATGTTCTTGAGGCTGTGAAGTTATTAATGGTGTAATTTCACCATCACAGAAGGTGCTTCTCTTCCACCTCTTACCTTCTCTTATGACATGCACAAAAGAGCTGACCAAAATTAATGGTGATTTTCAGTGTGTAGTGCCACAAAATAATCTTGAGGCTGCATGGTGGCAAATGGAAAAGCTACTGCCAGAATATGTCAAACAAACCGGCTTGTCTCGAGGTTTGTGCCACTTTATCTCAAACTTTGGGAGGATGGGCTGGATTCACCCTAATCTTGCCAAACAAAAAGAATATCAGCATGATTGCAGTGCCCAAATTTGGTGTGTGAACCTGGGTCGGGCTTTTGCCATACACCAGCAGTGTTCAACCTCCCCCATACTGTGAACAGTACATCATGAACTGGACATGTCCATTGTCTGCCCAGCATAGGAGCAATAAACCAGAAAATTTTCAGCACCTCTTTGTCTTCAAACTGAGTGCTCAGAGGCAGGTGCATGGTCACCACTATTTTTAGCACACAGCCAATTTCCAGTAAATTGTGATGTTCAGAAGGCAATGCCAGGGAAAAGCACCCCATAAATATTTTATGCAAAAATAATTTATCAATTTGAGGCACTTTTCCCTAGCCTCAATTTGATGTCAATGTTATGATGATGAAAATTGTAATGTCAGCATGCCAATGTTGCCTAGGTGTTCAGTGCAGTGGATTGATTTTTTGCAGACTGGCCTCTGGAACCTAATTAACACTTGGTATCTTTATATTATTTTATTGTTATTTAAGGTATCAGTCATATATTACATATTACCTTATTGTTTTAGTCATATTGTCACATGTCATATATTATGTTATGATATTATTATATTTTATTATTATTATGTAAGGTATAATCATGTTATATATAATTATATATAATTAACATAAGGTATCAGTCAAGCCTGGAGAAACACTCATTCAAATATGGGCATGTTATGTGGTGGAATGTGCACAGCAAGGTGCATATTTCAATGAAAAGTGATATGGCTCTTGTCAAACATTCCAGTGTGTCCTCTGCACATCACTTTGTGCTAACTGCTTGGCAGGGGAGCCCAGTGAAGTAGCATCAGCATATTTCAAACCAGGAAGGGAGGCATGTTATGAATATGGGCATACTAGACTGGTGGGCTATGAAAGCTTCAATACTGACATAGCTTGAGCACACTCTTATCTGGAGCTGAAAACTTATGCATCCATTGCTTTCCTTGAAGCCAAACCAACAGGCTGCATTTCCATTTTGTGTTAAGAATAAATATAACTTTCATCTTCAGATGAGAATAAAGATGGCTTAACTCATGCCCGGTCTTTTGTTTAAGACATTTAATGTGTCAGAAGGGAGATCAAGTTTTTGGCTTTTGGTAAACTAATGACAGTAGGTATGTTCCTTTAAGCACACTTGAAATTAATGATCTTACAACTGCATACAAACACAATCTTACATTCACTCATAATGTCAACAATCATGTCAGATACCTTCCATAGACATATTTTTGTCTCACTGTGTCATAAATGGAAGGATGCTATACCAGATGGAACAGTAGAATGTGAAGTAATCACTGAACACAAGTGTGACAGCTATACCCAGAATGCCTTGGACTTAGTGCCAGCTGTAATGCTGCAAAATATTTTTCAACCAGCGTTCATCCCAATACCACTCACTATACAATATGGTTATGCCACTTAATTTTGTTTTTCATTGTTTTCTTTTGACAGCACCAAATTGTGAGAATGCTGCAGCACTGACTGTCAAGTGGCTCAACATGAAGCCTTATTTTGCTAACCCCTTAACTTGAAGCAGTGTTTTGCACCACTGAACATGTGCTGCTTTTGTTTAGAGGACATTTGATAAGTGAATGATGGTGCACTTGATGGCAAAAATGGTAGGCATTATTTTTTTCTGTTGAATGTTAGAATAACATTTCTCACTTAAATGATGAAGTAACATTAGCATGGGTCTCGGTCGCAACAGCGGCACGATGAGGCAGGATGTTGTGAAGAATGAGCTGGCCGCGTGGCTTCCGTGAGCAATGCTTGACGGTGACCAGAAAATGATTGCTAAGAATGGTTTGGTCCAAATGGCCTGTGACAGTACCTTCCTTCGGTACCTTCGATGATTGGGCAGGCTTCTTTCCCGCCCTTGTGTTTCCAAAATGTGACGTAGTCAACCTTTACGGATGCTGCACGCTGGATTTTGGGAGATGAAGAGCATTCATGCTTTCACTGCAATGACTAATTCTCTGCCTCTAGGTTAAACAGTGGAAACTAGATGTTATTTGCGATTTCAATCGACCCCACCGTTACTCCTGAGCTTCCTTACTTTTGTTCATTTGACAGCTGGCGTGGCGCTGACATTGAGACAACTTTGGACATCTTCAGGTGGTCGTGAGCAACTGAAAAAATGATGAAAAGTTTTCTGTGAATACCTATTTTTCGCGTGCAGTGTCATGAAACTGATGGCCGTGCACTGCTATTCTCAGGTGGCACTCGCAGTTTAGAAACCGGCGTCGAAACGTAAAGGAAATGGTTGACGATATGTCAGACGTAGCCCAAAAATAGCGCTGAATATCTAAAACTCGACAAGATGCAGCGCTGAAATCTTTGATGTGCTGAGAAAATAGGTAGACTTTCATCTTGATCAGAAGCACATGCATTGCCACATGGTACTTTCACAACAGCTAGACGGATCATACTTGTGTGATGCGCCCTGCAGTTTGATGGACATGTCCGGGTTTTTCCATTTTACGCGGAACATGCATTGTTACTCAACTCGCACTGCGTGTTGCAATGCTGAAGACATCATCACATGCGTCGATAAATGACCCGCAGGCTGTGTTATTGCAGGACCGGCGCTCCGAACATGGCATCAATGGAAGTAGATACAATGGACGAGGAAGTTGTAGCGGGAACGTCCAAGAGCGACAAGAAGCGATTTGAAGTTAAGAAGTGGAACGCTGTGGCGCTATGGGCATGGGACATAGTGGTGGACAACTGCGCCATCTGCCGCAACCACATCATGGACCACTGCATCGAGTGCCAGGCCAACCAGGCCTCGGCCACCAGCGACGAGTGCACGGTGGCGTGGGGCGTGTGCAACCACGCCTTCCACTTCCACTGCATCTCGCGCTGGCTCAAGACGCGCCAGGTGTGTCCGCTGGACAACAGGGAGTGGGAGTTCCAGAAGTACGGCCACTAGGCGGCGCTCGGCGCCAGACGGGGCGGACCGGTGGAGCGCCGAGCCAGGAGGACGGCTGACGGTCCCATCTGACTCGAATCCCATTATCCATGTGATGTGAAAAATAACCACGACTTGGCGGCCGCTCACCGCGGCACCTACGATGCTGCACTGCGTGGCTGGCGTCCGGGTTGAGAATACACCGCAATATACGTTCTTAAACCAGTTTTGCCCTTGAAAAGTTGAACCCGCATTGCAGACATGCCACGACTTCACAAGCCGTCGAATCTAGTTCAAAACGCCACGCGCCCCGTACTCAGAACCCGTGAAGTTGTTAGCCACCTGCACCTACGAAATCAGTGGTGGTAGTTTGGCGGTTATGACGCGCCAGCACGTGGCATTTTGCGCCCACTCGAGGATGATTATCTGTATCTGTACTGGCACGCTATAAATATGTTTTCAACTCGTATTAAGCGGTTTCGCCGGTGCATTTACACTGAGGGCTGAGTAAAAGTATGTCAATGTGTGCTAAAATGCGAGCATATCTCGGACTTCACAGCATGGGTCGGCATTCTCGACCGATCAGCCGATTGAGGGAAGCTGGTGGAAAATATCGTCTCCGATTCGCTTCATTGTGCCGGCACAAAACAAGAACATGTTCCAACGACAACCGGTCCCCGCACCTGTCACACTGGCACATCCTGGCGCGTCGAGAAGGACGAGTACGCTGCATGTGCATGCCCCAAGCAAAGAGTACAGAGTGACTTCCTGAAAGCGGACTCTGCAGTGAAATTTACAATTACCATATATGGGCTTGGTTTTGCTGAAAGCCTGGAGATATTGGCCAAACACGTTCTGCCATGTGTGGCGGACTTAAGCGGACTTGGACGTGGCAGACTTTATATCGCGAGCGGGTGCATTAAGTGGTAGCGGCATCCTCTCACACGCAGCGGCTTTCGCTACCGCATCCGCGCTCTCATTCCCCAATATCCCTACGTGACTGGGGGCCAACACACACTCATACGGCTGATAGTGTTGCCCGGCCATCCCATTTTCTCCCAGATCGATCGCATCAGAGGAGTGGTCGCGCGACATCAACGTCGGGCCCAATGATGAAAAACACTTAAATTAACGATCAAAATGACTTCATTCCCTTCTGGGCGACAAGTAGCGTGCTGAAGATCTGCTGCAAAAGTGAACGGCTCTGAGGAAGAGGCTGACACGCAATGCGGGAGGCAGAAACCTGAGGTGTGATGACTGCCAACACCTGCGCAACCAGTCCCTGTCGGGCCTTCGGATCAGTTAGTACACATTTGCAATGAATTTTCGTGCCCTGCGATCCGTTCCAACGAACAGTTGGGCAGCTCTCGTGGGAAAGTGCCGCTTTTATGATGATGGAAAGCTGCAAATCATTATTTGTACTCGGGCGTCGCCAAGGAGTTAGGCCCCAGTGTTCGGGGCAATGTCATTTAGCGTAATATCCGCCTCATCCAGCCAGTTCCGGACGCGCATACACATGGGTCGCGCTGACGTAGGCTGCCCGTTAAGAAAGAACGGATTAACGGCTGAGAGAAAATGGACTCGAAAGCCGGTTGATCTGGGGATTACAACACCGTGGCGTAATTCAAAGTACGTCGTCTTCTAACAAGCAAAGGCGGTTCATTGGCTTCCACCAGCGAGTCAACAAGTCCACCAGCAAGTTGTTCGGGTTGTACGAAAAGCCCCATTGGCCACCCCCGATGTCCACATGGTTCAAAGCGGTGCACATCTTCGCGCCATTCCACGTATCGCCGAGAACTCGAGATAAAACAGCTTCCACCCGGTCGTGAATTTATTCGGAAACGGCAACAGGGGAGAGACCGCCCGGGTTCGGGGGGTCATAAATAGATCACAACTGGGAGTGGTGCTGCGGGCGTCGACGGCGGCCCTCAGCTGGTGGGCCCATCGGCGGCCGGTGGGCCCAGCTGGTGGCTGGTGGGCCCATCGGCGGCCGGCTCCGCAGGACGGTTGTCCTCTGGCTTCATTGCGGGGAAGAAGAGCACCTCCTGCCGGACACCGGTCCAGTGACGTCAGTGCTGATGCCGGAGGCCACCCCACGGCCACGTCAGTGTCCGGGCGCAACATCACGTGGCCTCGGTGTGTGAACATGTCTCAGTAGCGTCAGTGTTGCACACCACAACGTTACTGTCGGAGCAGCACAACAAACCCTGCAACGGCGTCAGTGGCAAGGCGTGGCGTTACGAACAGTGACGTGATTGACGCCGCTCGGGTTCGCTCGCGGCGGCACGTTACGCGGGTTACGCGGACGCTACTATCGTGTGACAGTGTGACGTCATTGTCAAGGCGCAGCGACGACAGCCACGAGTGGCAGCGTAAGTCAGAGTCGGGCAGCGCAACGTCGGGTATCACGGCGCAGGCGACCATGCACGCGCCTCCTCGCCCGCGTTCCGGAATTCATCCAGTATGGTATCCGAGATGTGGGCTCTCCAACGGCCTCTGCACGCACTTCGTTGGCGCTAATCCGTTGCCCTTCGGCCCCGAACCCGGACGTCTAACCTGCCCGGCTCACATTCCAGGCCTGAGGCGCTTAGATCATGCGTTGCGCGCCGCCCGGCCCGATGCATATTGGTTGATTTTGAGCAAGGGGAGGCGCAACTGGCAGTGCATCCCAAGCCGGGAGTGTATAAGCAGGACAAAATATCGCTATCCCTGAAACCCAAGTGGCCGACTGCTGGTACACTGCTTCCCACCACAGAAACAGCCATCTGACACCTCGTGACGCACGGAGCGACGCTGTGTAGGTGCCGTGTCAGCAACAGTTCCCGCGACATGAGCCGCCTTGCGGCCGCCGAGCCCTCACGAGCGGCGGCTCGCGAGCGTCGCTCGCGCTGCCGCAGCAGACCTCGGGCGCACCTTGATGTTGTTGGAGTCGGTCAGGAACATGGTGAGCCGGTCGATGCCCATGCCCCATCCGCCGGTGGGCGGCAGGCCGTACTCCAGCGCCGTGCAGAAGTTCTCGTCGATCAGCTGCGCCTCGTCGTCGCCCGCCGCCTTGGCCTGCCCGGAGCGGGGGCGCGTGAGACGCGCACGTGAGCGCGGTGGGGTCCTTGGGACCGGACCGATCTGCCGCGGGCGCGAGCAGAGCAGCCCACAAACGGACCACCTGCACAAGGCCCACCAACTGTGCCCCGAATCGCAGAGTCGAACTCGCCGCCCGCCGAGGCACCTGCGGATGATACAGTTCGCACCAAATGTGGCCAGCATCCCCACGCGCAGCTCGGGCCCTCGCTGGCTTGGTCGCCGCGCGCTTGTCCGGCGACAACCGGCGGTAGCGGAAGGACAACTGCTGGGTCGCCGTACCTGTCTGCGGCGACGTCCCGGCCCGTTCGCGGACGGGGACGGTACTCACGCTGGCCTGAATGGCGAACATCTGCCTCTGCGTGATCGGGTCATTCAGCTCCGTGTAGGCGTTGCACACCTCCTTCTTGCAAACGAACAGCTCGAAGCGCTCCGTGATGCCCGGCTGCGAGCGGTGGTACTTGGAAAGCGGCGACATGATTTGCGGGTGGTCCAGGATGAACGTCGGCTGGATGCACGTCTCCTCCAGGAACTCGCCGACCAGCTGGCGGCGCGGCGGACGCGTCACACACCGTTCGGCGGCGTCACGAGGCCAACTGGCCACGTGATGCCGTCACACCTCAGCGGTGCACGGTCACCCAGGCCAAAACAAGACCTGCCTCACTGGAGAGGCGTCATCGATCAGCGGCAGTGACGGACGGCGACGCCGCGTGCACGGCGGCGGCGAACCGACGCCAGGCGCCGACCGCACCCGTCCGCGCTGCTGCCCCGCGCCGCCGCTGTCCGGCAGCCGTGCACACGCAGCGCCAACCGGAGCCGGCTCTCCGCCCGGCGAGGCGGCTCACCTTGTCCAGCAGGCGGGCGGTGGTCCGTGGCGGCGCGCAGTCCACCTGGTGCTGCACGCAGAGCCGGTCGAGCGCGGCGCGCGCCGGCTCGCCCGTCAGCTCAGTGGCGGGCGGCAGAGACGTCTTGAGCGCCTGCGGTCGCGGCGGGGACAGACCGCGATAATGTCAGCTGACTCAACCCGCGACGGCCGAAACACGACATTCGTTACTACGGCATCGACGCAAGTGGCGGGTGACAACAGGCGAACGACGATGGGTGATACGAAAATATAACATGAAACGAATTAAATAAACGTATGCGAAGGAGAACATGCACATGTACCGTTATCGTAACTACGGGCAATAAGATTTGTCATTGACCGTGGCCGAACACACAGTATTCCCGTCCGCCTGCCGGCGTGCGGAGGCCCGGCCCAAAGCCCGCCAGAGCGGTAGCGGCGGCGGCGGCGGCTCACCTTCTCCAGCTCGGGCAGCATGTGCAGCCGGCGGAAGGGCGGCGTGAAGTCCACCTGCCAGGCCTCGCCGTCCGGACCGTCCGGGTGGTACGTCACCTGGGTGGTGCCGAATATGGAGCGCACCATGCCTGCGCGCGGCAGACGCCCGGTCAGCGCTGCCCCAGGTCGGCGACGCTCGTGGCCCGACCGACCGACGCCCGGTCAGAGGTGCCCCATGTCGGCGACGCTCGCGGCCCGACCGGCCGACGCCCGGTCAGCGGTGCCCCATGTCGGCGACGCTCGTGGCCCGACCGGCCGACGCCCGGTCAGCGGTGCCCCAGGTGGGCGACGCTCGCGGCCCGACCGGCCGACGCCCGGTCAGCGGTGCCCCAGGTCGGCGACGCTCGCGGCCCGACCGGTCGACGCCCGGTCAGCGGTGCCCCATGTCGGCGACGCTGCAGCCCGACCTTGCCTAGCCCTCCCCAACACATACATCACGCATGTCTATGTTCAACATTTGTACATGATCATGATGGCCTGGCGGACCGCTACGCATGCCTGGAGGACCAGCCAAAAAGGTTGCTTCGGCATGAAAAAACAAAAACATGCTGACCGTCGTTCACATGCCGTGAGATACGATTTTCTCGATCCTCGCGATCCTTCGGCCCCCGGATGGCAGTGTTAACTCCAATGTTGCATTGCAAGAGCCAGACCAAACTGCCGATGACCAGACCCGGTCACTGGGACTGCAGCCCGGCCTGGGCGGGGAAGGGCTGCCGAGCACTGTCAAACTCGACCTCGACACACGATAAAAGCAACATCGCACCGTACATGGCTATCACCTGGCTCGTACGACCAGC